GCTCTGTGTTTGACAGGGGGGAGCTCCCCAACCCCCTGATCGGCCCTGCTCTGTGTGTGACATGGTAGAGCCATAACCTCTCCATCGGCCCTGCCCCGAGTGTGACAGTGGTGGCGCCCCAACCCCCTGATCGGCCCTGCTCTGTGTGTGACATGGTAGAGCCATAACCTCTCCATCGGCCCTGCCCCGAGTGTGACAGTGGTGGCGCCCCAACCCCCTGATCGGCCCTGCTCTGTGTGTGACATGGTAGAGCCATAACCTCTCCATCGGCCCTGCCCCGAGTGTGACAGTGGTGGCGCCCCAACCCCCTGATCGGCCCTGCTCTGTGGGTGATAGAGGGTGGCGCCCCAACCCCCCTCCACGGGCCTTGCTCTGTGTGTGACAGGGTAGAGCCATAACCTCTCCATCGGCCCTGCCCCGAGTGTGACAGTGGTGGCGCCCCAACCCCCTGATCGGCCCTGCTCTGTGGGTGATAGAGGGTGGCGCCCCAACCCCCCTCCACGGGCCTTGCTCTGTGTGTGACAGGGTAGAGCCATAACCTCCCCATTGGCCCTGCCCTGAGTGTGACAGGGTGCAGCGCCCCAACCCCCTGATCTGCCCTGCTCTGTGTGTGACAGGGGGCGGCGCCCCAACTCCCCAATCGGCCCTGCTCTGAGCCTGACCAGGGGCTGCACCTAGGGATTGTTCCTGCCCTCTGCCACCCGGGAGCAGGCCTAAGCCAGCAGGTCGTTATCTCCCGAGGGGTCCCAGACTGCGAGAGGGCACAGGCCGGGCTGAGGGACCCCCTCTCCCCCCCGAGTGCACAAATTTTTGTGCACCAGGCCTCTAGTTTAATTATAAAGTATTCTCAGTTGTGTACTGTAATCCATTGTCCATTCTTTTTTTTAACGATATTTTTATTGATTTTTAGAGGGAGAGGAAGAGAGAGAGAAACATTGATGTGAGAGCAGAACAGCTATCGGCTGCCTCCTGTATGCCCCCTACTGGAGATGGAGCCCACAACCCAAGTGTGTGCCCTGACCAGAATCAAACCATCAGCCTTTCAATGCACGGGACAATGCGCAACCAACTGAGCCACACCAGCCAGGGCCATTGTCCATTCTTGTATTTCAATTTGTCTAGTTTTGCCTCTTGGATTGCTTTTTCAATCCAAAACTTGTTACTCAGAGGATCCAGACAAATCCATGTGGGAGCTCCAGTCACTAAGCTTTGAGGACAGAAAGAACAAAGGTCAATGGAATAGAAGCAGCATTGCTAGTTGCCAGTTGTTACCAAGGGCACAACTAAGCAAAGAGGGGGGCCAATATAGAAATGTTGAGGATTTTTTTCCAAAATAAAAATAGCTTTACTGTTTTAAGAAAATAAAAATGATCCATGTTCATTATAAAAATTTCAAATACATAAAAGTCTAAAGAAAGTAAAGATCATCCAAATACCACAGGCCAGAAAAAAACACACACATTATTAACCTTTTGGCAAAGATCTCTCTATGAAACATATATTATTTTAAAATATCCAGTGTTATAAATGCGGCCTATTAAACATGCTATTCTGGAGTCTGAGTTTTCATTCAATAATATTTCAGTGACAAATTTCCAGAGTTATAAACATTGATCTAAATAATCTTTAATGACAGTTGCATATAAGTCAATTGTATATGTGTGCTATACTTTATGTAACCCATCTTGTATTGAAGGACATTTAGGCTGTTTCCAATGATTTAATATCATAAATCTCATAAAGTACATCTTTGCCATCTTATTTACACACTTGATAACTTAATTCAACTTGACTTATAAGAAAACACTTGCTCTGTATAGGATAACATGCTAGGCCTTAAAGAGACGGCCCCTGCACACTCAGGGAATGTTTAGAATAAATTCCTAAACAAATTGCCGGGTAAAAGTGTGTCCTTTAAATTTTTGATACATATTGCCAACTTTAGTACATACTGCCTTCTTTTTTTGTTAAATAATTCTTTATTGACATATTGCCTTCTTAGAAAGGTTGTACCAATTGTCACTCCAGCCTTTTGCCCATATTCTTGTCAATTGCTCCAATATTTGCTAATCTGGAAGGATAAAGTTAATACTGATAAAATAAGCAACACATTCGCTGTTTTTTATTTTCAAATAAAACAAGGTAAATCAGCCTCAGAATGGTTTACATATTATAAATCCAAATGCCAAAGACTTCTACTGCTTCCTTTCATTAGCATGGATAATCAAGAGTGGCCAGCCAGCTCAGGTCACAAGAATTGAAATCATCTGAAGTCAAGTCCAAGCCTGCTCCCCTACTAGTCTTAGCAGAGGGACCATTTGGGAGCACTATGAACACAGACATCGTGATCAGATGCGGAAGACAGCACCGGACAGCCGGCCGGCAGACCTGCCCGTGCCCGGGAGCATGGCCTCTCCTAACTGCTTACCTGGGGCCTGCTTTGGGCCTGTCAATCAGACTAAGGCTTATTGTGTTTTGAAGCTCACTTTCTGCCATGAAATCCTTTCCCCCCCAGAACTATAGCTCCACATTTCTGACCTTGGTCTGCTAACCTGCCCCTAATTCCTGATAACTTCTTGTTTTTGATTAGTTGTTCTTGAATCTGGACTCTAATCTATGCCTAACCCAACCAACCACACACACACACACACACACACACACACACACACATACGCACGCGCGCGTGTGTGCGCCATGTGTCTATTCCTCTGAAGCTAGAGATCTACCCTTTCATTATACATGCCCTAAAGAGGGAGCAGTTATAAATCCTCTGGAAATGGTTTTCTTGAGTATTTCCATCCATCATCACAAAGACAATCATTATCCCCACTTTGTTAATTTACTCAACAGCATTTACTGTAGCTGAATTTTTGAGTATGTGGGTTCACAGAGATAATGTAATTCAACTTGACTCATAAGAAAACACTTGCTCTGTATAGGATAACATGCTAGGCCTTGAAGAGATGGCCCTTGCACACACAGGGAATGTGACAGAGCAATGGTCTCCAGTGATGTCCATGTCCTAAGAAACCTGCGGATATATTACTTTACAGAAGAAAAGAGACATTGCAGATGTGATTAAATTAAGGATCTGGAGATGCAGAGATTTTCCTGGATTATCTGTGAGGACCCAATGCAATCACAAGGATCCTTATAAGAGAGAGGCAGGAGGGCCAAAGTATGAGAAATAGGTGATAAAGAAGAAGTCAGAGAGAAAGAGAGATCTAGATTCAAAGATGCTACACTACTGGCTTTGAGGATGAAGAGGCCAGAAGCCAAGGAAGGCAGGAGCCTGAATAGGTGAGGGAACGAATCTGCACCTAAAGCCTCCAGAAGGGATGCCACGGACTTCTGACCTCCAGAACTGCAAAATAATTAACCTACATTGTCTTAGCCCACTCGGTCTATGATGATTCGTCACAGCAACAATAGAAAACTAATACAGGCAGCTTACAAGCCTGGTCAGAGAGAGAGATGGCACAAGCAACTTTGGTATCATTCAGAAAGTGACGAGTATAAAATATAAATACAACATATTACTATGGAAATGCTGGTAAAGTGAGTACTTCTGGCTGGAGATTAGGGAAGTCTCGGGAGGATGGCAATTCTGCTGGGCCCTGAAGGATTGGTAAGATTTTAAAAGGGAAGGGATACAGGACACAGCAGGAGCAAAGGCATCGAGTTGGAAGGTACAGAATCAAAAAGCAGACCTAGGCTCTTGTGACCAGCCATTTTCTCAGAAACAGAAATTACTTGATTCAAATTTCATACATCCTACTTAGGATATAATAGGTACCTACGTTTATAAAAAAGAACTTATAACAGTCAACAATTGTATTCTATGTGATAAATTATCCTAAGAGTTTAAATACAGACTATAGATCTTGGGCAAAAATCTACTCTCTGCAGAGATCATATCATAGCCAAGGGTGAGCCTGGCTCATCTTCACACAGGCAAGCTTGATAGGGATGAACAGGGAAATGCCACGGGTCAATCAAAGTACACGGAAAGGCAATTCTTTAAAGGGCAACCATTAATATTTACAAACTAGACATTTCCTACGACTTCACAGGCAAGCTACACCCAACAGTGGAATCCAACTGAACACACTTAGCAGAACGAGGCTCTGAGGACTCAGATCAATGCTGTGAAGGACGTAAGAATCCAGTCTCGTTGGGGAGGTTTTGATTGCTTTGTTTGTCCGAAGTCAGGGCCCAGGATCTTAAGGAATCACGAATGGCTCTAATTCAGCCTAGATTTGATCTGAGGCAATTACCCGACAAAACACACTTTTAAGGCCCCCTGTTTTGCAAGTTGGAGAGCGAAGAATGGGATCGTCCAGGTTGTTGATCCTCATTGCCAAGGTCACATGGATCACCCTCAGGGCATTACTTATGAAGGCAATGTCTTCCCAAGATGCCACCTGTACTCAAGTGCCTGGGTAGTACTTGTCATCTTCTTTATCTTCTGGTAAAATGGATTCCTTTTTGTTCTGCTCACATTCATTCCAGACAAATTCACTGGAACAGCTGGTCTCCACTGGCCTGCTCCTGTGAGCGTGACCTGCAGCTTCTGCAGAAGGGTCCGCATCTACACCGGGGGCCCCTGAATCCCAGGCTGGTGCCGCGTGCTTTGGAGGCCAACGTTCTTCAGGAGGAGAACTGGGCAGTTTGCAAGCGTCCTCCTTTCTCTTACTCCCCGTCTTCCCGTCCAAGCCCAGATAAGTAACCTCAGACTGGCTGCATTCAAAAGGGATTTTCTGAGCGATTCTCTCTTTCCTCAAATGTTGATCATGAAGCAGAGGCTGTCTGTTCTGTCTTTCATCATCTTCCACTGGAATACTTGGCACATTATCCAAGAACAGAGGAGAAGGACACCTGAAAGACTTGAGTGAGGTGGGAGGATCTTCAGCAAAATATAAGCTGGCTTGAGTGCTTTCGAGAGTATTTAGGACCTAATAACCAAGAAGCAAGCAAACATAGAGTTAAGCTTGACTAACGTTTCCTTTTACCCTTTTTCCGTCTACCTTTGAAGGACTGTGCTTTTGTTTTCATGAAATCAGTTCTACTACAGAATTTTGAATGAGAAGGTATTAAAGATTAGCTAAACTCTTCGTTTTAATGAATAAATTAAGTGACTTGAAGCAAAGGATAAAAGAAACTGCATTGAATTGAATATCAAGAGACCTGACCTTAGGCCTAGATTTGCTACCACTACTTTTGGACGTGGGGTGAATTTCTTATTATTTTTAAAAATATGTTTTTATTGATTTTAGAGGGCAGCAGGCTAATTTTTAAGTTGATAATTTTATATGGCCCGCGAATGATGCTGTAAATATCCAAATGGCCCTTGGCAGAAAAAAGGTTCCCCACCCCTGCTCTATCACCTGGAACCTTCTATTACAACCTGGCAGCATTTCCTTCCCCACCATCCCACAGAAGCAGAACTACCTGTGGTCTTAGCGACATGAAATCCAGCCCTCTGAGCCTTTGCAGGTGTATATTCTCTCCCTGGAATGTCCGTCCATCCTTATGGCTACCTAAATCCACCCTGTTCTTCAGGGCCTACCTCCACTGGCTCCTCCATCAAGAAGCTTCCTTGACTTTCCATCAGCTAGAATGTACTAATTCCATGCTCCCATCTACCAGGATCCTTATCTTTCTGTCCTGAAATCCCATGTTTTCTGAGGTCACTCTCCCTGTGGATAGTGGGCTTGAGGGCAGCAGCTGTATCTTGATCACTGTAGTATCCCCAGCACCCAGCACAACATCTGACCCTTGCAAAGTAGGCACTAAATAAATATTTGTTTATTGTAAACAAATAAATGAATGGACGATTAAACAGATGGACAGATGAATAAAAAACCGATAAGGGGAATACACACTGCATTTTTAATGGGCAGATCTCTTATGAAGGTTGAATAAAATATTATCTCCAAATTACTATGTCTCTTCCTTAAAATGTTCATGGTGCCCTGGTTCCACCCAAGAATGACCTCTACTAGAGTACCTGATGATGAGACATTTCGACCTAGAAAAGCTATCTATTAGATTAGAATTCTATTTTGGGGGCTGGATTTGTCTCATTAATAAAGAATTTACTTAGATACACATTTGTCCTATTTAGATTTTCAATGGTTCCATGGATTCAGTTTTTAATAAAACTGTGTGCATACGTACTTCATCCATTGATGGTCTTAATTTTGCCCGTGTTGCAGCACACTGGCCTGCCAAAGAGAAGAGCTTGGCAGAAAAATTCCGAGGGCAGGGAAACACTTTCTTATCTAGAAATGAGACACATGAATCGAGACCTCTCTTCTCCATCAACTCCATCAGGAGATCCCTCTAGGAGGAGAAGAAGACAACCTCATTTAGAACTCTACCAGAAAAATGACCACGGTGCAGAGGGGAGGACAAGTCTTACCAGCTGAATGTGCTTTGGGTCGTCCAACACCACTTTACAACCGGTCAGAGCTTCCATTATCACCTACAAAGGACACACAGAAAGTCAGTTACGTACATTAACTATATCCACATGTTAGTGGCGGCTAGTAACCTTAACAATGAATATAGTTCATTCCCATTAATGAATTTATATTTTATTACTGATTGATTACCCAAAATTAATGTATAAGACAATGAGTAACAGGAGATCATTTGTTGCATGACATTGGTTAATAAAATCATACAGGTTTCAAATGTCCCACTCAACTGAGAGCATTGTCAGTACTTACGATGCCAAAGCTGTAGACATCTGTTTTAGTGGACAACTTGCCCTGCCTGATGTACTCTTCCGGCATGTACCACAGATGGTTACTGCTGCCACTGCTCATGCTTATGGTGGCACTCTGAGGCTCGAGGTGGGGCCGGAAGTGTGCCATGGCGAAATCCATGAGTTTGGGTTGAAACTGATCATCCAAAAGTATGTTGGCACTAAAATGAGGAGCAAGGACAAACAAGACAAAAACATCATGAAGACATTTTGGTGAAAAACAACACGACGAGCTCACCTTCATGTCTTATTCATTACAAACATGGACAAAATAGAGCCATCCATATTTTTCATGAACTATAGGACATATTCTCATTTTTCTTAATGTGAGAATGTGTGCTAAATCCAAGTGTTCTATAGAACCAAAAACCAAATCCTGACCTAAAAACCGTGGGCATTTCGAATTTACAGCTACCTACGTGGAGTTGGTGGATAAAGCTGATGGTTCGTCAATAGGAGACACTAACGTGAACCAAAAGTGGCCTTCCTTGTGCTCTTCTTGCACGTGAGGAGAACATGACCTGGGCCTTACTCAGCCAATACCTGTCAGTTCTGTGCACGGAGCTCTGCTGTGGATGCTCTGCCCATAGCCACTCACCTGCAAGGTTTTGAGGAATCTTCAGTGGCCCTGCTTTAAGGATAACCCTACTCCACAGTCCCATCCCCATGGCTTCTTTGTCTTTGAGTCTTGCTTAAAATATAACCGTCTAAAGAGGCAGAGACAAAGTCTTGGAGTCCATTTTAGCTGTTCGTCACATAAAAACCTTAATAGTCACTTAACATCTTGGCTGGAAGTAAGCGTGAGCTTGTTTGACCTTGGAAGGGCTGCTGTAGGAGGGGTGGGAAAAGATAAGCTGAGGGGGAGCCCCACTTCCCACAGCCCACCTGGCTCTGTAGCCACTGGCGGGTCACTTCACCCCGGAAACCTCAGCAGCATCTTCCCTTACGAGTGAGATGGTGAGATGAGGAAAACAACAGAACTCACAGGCACAGACACAGCTACTGCTGGGCATGCTCAGTAAACGCTGGCTTAGATGGAGGCTAGTGATTCCTCACAGGAGAGCAGATGGCTATTGAGAAAAGAGATGGCTATTGGGCTAAGAGAAAGTTATCTGCTGTTCAACCTTGTTAAGGGCTTGTTTTTGTCCCCTGAAACCAAAGCTAGTATGAGATCCCTGCCCATCCCAACGCCACGTGGGACCTTTGGAGAGCCACACACTCTTGTTAAACGTGGTGAATAGCTGCAGGATAAACACAGGAAATGATTAATTCTGAACAAGTGTTGGGTCTCACGAAAGTTCCAGAGTCCCTGCTGTCCCTGGACGAGCAGGCTGACAAGCAGGCCACTCCACACGTCTGAACTGCAGGCGCTGCTGTGATTCCGAATAGTCAGTCTTGGCTCTGTTTCAAGGACTTGAAATGGAGGCCTTGAGGATTCTAACCCAGACCTTGTCTAGGACTCAACTGACAGACAAAATGATGGGGCTCCCCGGGATCAGACAGACACGCCTTAAACTTTATGTCACTCCCCTTCCTCTGGAGGTGGCAGGAGAATCGAAAAACCCAAAGAACCCACCTTCTGCATAAGCCCTAGAGCCCCTACCTGTTGTGCGGTCCCTTCATTAATGAGGAGAAAGTCAGGGAGGGACTTGTATCTGGGAGGAGGCTTATCTCAGAAGCACAGTCCTCGGTTCTCTCCCTGCCTTGTCTTTTCTCTCCTGATATTTCAAACCCAGCAGCTTCTAAGACCAGCCTGGGTCTCACACACCGATGTCACTCCTCACCCATTCTTGGGTTTCTCATTTGGAAAACAGCATTAACTATCCTGACATGCTTCTGAAGGTGAGGAATATACTAGAGCCAGATCCTACCTTCTCTCCATCTCTCGGTAAGAAGACATTTAGTTCATAATTACTTCTTCCACGGGTGTGCACTGCACTCTTTCAGATCCAGGCCAAGCTTCCTGGGACGCCCTGATCAATTCTGAGTGCCAGGGTAGTTAATGCAGGGGTGTGCCAGGTGTGCCAGGAGTGACGTGGGCAGAGAGGTGCGTTAGCTCTCATCACCAGCACCAGCCTTCTGCCCCTCCAGCCTCTGCCGCACTCAGGGCCGGGCCCTCCTCTGCAGCCGCCCCTCTTCATCTCAGCCCAGGGAGAGGCAGCAGAGCTCTGAACGCCAGATTTTCCTTGTCAAACTCCTAGCCCTCTTCTTTCCCCACCAGCTCTGAAGAAGGGTTAAAGCGCAACTTAGTGCCAGAGCCATGAGAATGCAAAAAGCTAAATCTGTGGATCACTCAGACTCCCAAAGAATAATTCTTTCCTAGGTACAAAAGAGAGAGAGAGAGAGAGAAAGCAGTAACAACAAAAAAACCCATAATCTAATCTATTTACTTGACCCTCAGCAGAACTGGTGGGAAGCTTCCGGCAACGGGTGAAGCAGTTCTGTAAGAGGCGGCCCTGGGAACCACGATACGCTACCCGGTAAAACCCACGGAGGATTCGGGGCAGCGAGAGGCCATCAATAAGAATGCAAAATTGTCCTAGGGCACTGCGTTTACACTTTGAATAATGACATTTGGTGAAAAGACAAGTTGTGTACCAGCAGACCTTAGTGTATAACATAAATTTTGAGCCCAGTGATTTACTCTGTTCTAAATAAAGGTTAATGGTAGCCGAGGAAGAAGGATGTTCTGTTTCAGAAAAGTGGGAATTGCAAAAGGCCTGTCAACAATCAATTCTGCCCTAATTCTTTCCCCTGCTTCTACCTCAAATAGAATGTTCCAACATAAAGTGCCTTCAGCTACCATGTAGGTCAACTGAATGCGTTTATCCTATGGGGGTAAACACAGACTGAAAAAATAAAGACAACATAAACAACTGAAACCATGTAACAATATGGTGCACTAAAAGGGCAGCTTGCTAGCTATTGTGGCTACCAAAGACACAGGTGAGAAACATCCAATGGCCCACACACTTAACTTAGTGTCTCTGCAACCTGTTTCTTCTATTCTTTCCCACAAAACCACTTACTGTAACAGAGAGGCCTCTAGATCATTCTTCCGCAGAAGGATCAGTGGTAGGGTCACAAAGGAGATGGGGAGAAGCCTACACAGGTGGTGACGTACATCCTCACTGCGGGAATATTACTTCATCTCCCTCTTGCTAAGTCTTTAAGACAATTCTTTTTGGGGGAACTGCATCCCTCAATGGCTACAAGAATTGCTTTCTTTGCTCACCAGTTTGTGTCCTGATTTAGTAGAAGGCTGTGGGCCTTAAATATAAAGCAAGATGACACACCTAGACTATAATGCAGGATTTGAACCTAAGTGCAAATACCATGTTTGATATGTAGGTGCAAGATTGTTTTTTAAAGATACATTTATTTTTATAGGATTTTATGGGACGTTATTGGTGCCCAGTAGCCCAGTCCCTGAGTGCCTGGCAACTCTCAAGGAAAGTCCAGACTCCACCCAATAGGCCCCAGAGATAGAGGACACACGTGGCCTCTGGTTGACAGCCTGAAGCGATGAAACATCTTGCTGTGTTACTGCTGTTGCCACACCAAGATACCCCTCACCAGATGGGGCAAGACCCAGTCTCCCCGGGAGCCTGCAGGTGACTGGGAGGGGTGCACACAGCCCTCCCCGCTGCAGCATGCAATGCATCTGGCCAAAATGATGTGAGAACATAATCTCACAGGAAACATTAGAAATGTTCACCAGGGAACGAACAGGGATGAATGTCTGGGATGAAAAACGCTGAAGATAAGATGCACTTGAATTTAAGATCGTTCATAAATGTGAAAACAATTAAGCTCGGGAAGGGATAGGTTGGAAAAAGCAAGAACGACCACTGCTTTCCCGTAATTCAAAAACATCTCCGTTCCCCAAATAAAAATGGGAAGGTCATTTGTCAAGAGCAGAGACATCAACTCTTTAAGATTCTTTTCTTTAAATCCTTTTCCTCCTCAAATTCCACCATCTGGAAATAAAGTTTTGTTTTTATAACATTCTCTCAGAAGAGTTCAAATTACGAAGACATTTTGGGCAAATGAAACCACCAGGCTTCTCGAAAACACTTTTGAAATGTGGGCTTGGCTTCCTCCTTGAGTGTCCTTGGCACAGCGTCTCCTGGGGAGCCTGTTTGCTCTCACTGCTTCACAGGCGCAGGCGCGGGTCCTGAACGCACACCCAGGTCCCATCTCCAGCTCAGGCCACCGCCTGCTGCCATTTTCACCAGGCGTCTGACGTCAGCATCTCCAAATCTGCACACGTTAATCACGCTCTCCTTTCCTGCCCATTTCCCTGTCTCTGCCCAATGAAGCCAACATGCCCCCAGAGACAATGACTAATCACCCAGTAGGAGCGTGATTGTTGGGCCCACACACATGTGAGTCCTGCCTCCCTCCCCCATCTACAGAGGTGTGACAGAAGCAGGTTACTAATTTCTGGAAGTCTCAGCTTTCTCCTGTGTCAAACTGAGATAAGACCAATGATACCCAAACTCGAGGTTGTTGGGGAGGTTAATACATTGTCCAGTGGGCTCTTAGGTCAGGTCTAAAGCCCTCGAGCTTTCACTGACTCCCTGATCTGTCTGCAGCCTATTAGCTACCCTGAGGTATTAGCACTTACTAATGTAGGCAGGGAGGACTGCACTTACTGATGTTTAAGGGCTTTCTTTTTTTAAAAAAAAATTTAATTAAAAAAATATATTTTTTTATTGATTTCAGAGAGGAAGGGAGAGGGAAAGAAAGATAGAAACATCAATGATGAGAGAGAATCATTGATTGGCTGCCTCCTGCAGGCCCCCCACTGGGGATCGAGCCCCCAACCCAGGCTTCTGCCCTGACCGGGAATTGAACCGTGACCTCCTGGTTCATAGGTCGATGCTCAACCGTTGAGCCACACCAGTCTGGCTAAATTTTTAATTTTTATTGAGGTAACATTGGTTAAGAACATTATATAAGTTTCAGCTGTACAGCATTATCATTTGATATCTGTATACACTATAGCATGCTCGCCACCAAAAGTTTGGTTTCCATCTGTCACCAAACATTTGATTCCCTTTACCCTTTTCCCCTCTGCCATTCCCCTCCTTTTTCTGTGTTCAGTGCTCTTTCTTTATACTGTTCCCTTCACCTGCAAAGTACTCCTCCCCTCCCC